TTTTTTTTTTTTCTGCCTCTCCCTGCCCCAACCAGTCCCTGCTTCCCAGTATAAACCTTAGAAACTCCCAGTTCCACATCCCCAGCCTTTTAGTTTAATTTGGATGGGAAGGCGTCTTCCCCCTAAAGTGGAAGCTGGTACCTTTTGGCTGCCTCTCGAGGCAACAGAGGTCGAACAGCGACACCCCCCCATTCCCACTGCTGCGAAGGGGCGGGTCAGGATTGCTCTGGAAACCTGTTTCCGGGTCTGACATCTGATGAATCTGTCCTTCCAAACCTCCAGAGGCTTCTCTCCCTCTGCCTTCTTGGCTAGAGGATGTTTAGCCATCATACTCCAGCTGAAAGTGCCCTGACTTCATGGGAGTGAAGATGTGAAGGGGAGATGGGTCAGAGAACATGAAAGCTGGGTCAAGGAGACCACTGGATGCATTTAGTGTTCCTTGAAATCCACAGATTTTGGCCCCGGACTATCCAACACACAGAAAAACTCTTCCATTTCAGGGGATGACTGATTTTGTTAAAAGGAGGGTGTTTTTGTTTTGTTTTGTTTTGTTTTGTTTTGCTGAGCCTCCTCGGGTCAGATCTGTTTGCCTCAGAATCAGCTCGGTGCTCACAGTGTTCTTAAAATAAATATTTTTGTATCTGATTCCAGCTTGGCTGCCAGGCCTGACTGATAACACTCATGGCTTGGCGAGGTGCTGCTGAATTTCTCTGCACACGTTCCTTCCCTCCAGGAACATCCCCATGCTTTATTTCAGGATTCCAGTTAATTCCTCAGCTTGGGGATGGAGTCATGCTTTCCTGAAGGCCAGCCACATCCTGGGCCTTCAGGGCTCTTGGACTAAACAGTTTAAGGTGGGGCTGGGGACAGTGGGGAGAGGCGGGGGCTGGGGGACAGATGAAATTTGGGCCTAAGGAAAGGCCAAATCACATAATATTTATTGGATACCTAGTGGTTACACAAGATCCCATAGAAACACAAGCATCAAGTGCTTGGGTATGGTTATCCTGGAAATCTAATTTGAAAAACAATGATGTATTATTTAACACCCTGAATGGGTCTTTTTAAAAAGCACCCTTCTGGGGCGCCTGGGTGGCGCAGTCGGTTAAGCGTCCGACTTCAGCCAGGTCACGATCTCGGGTCCGTGAGTTCGGGCCCCGCGTCAGGCTCTGGGCTGATGGCTCAGAGCCTGGAGCCTGTTTCCGATTCTGTATCTCCCTCTCTCTCTGCCCCTCCCCCGTTCATGCTCTGTCTCTCTCTGTCCCCAAAAAAAATAAATAAACGTTGAAAAAAATTAAAAAAAAAAAAGCACCCTTCTTCTTTTATAAGAGAGCTTAGGGATCATCTACTCCAGTTTAAAAAGAAGTTTCTCCAAATACTCTGGGCGAAGGAACATTTGTGTCTCTGAGAAGGAAAGCCAACTCCAAATAGATCGCACATCCCTTTACAAAACTCAGGTACAAGTCATCTCCAGGACCACATCCTTAGCAAGAAAAAAAAAAAAAAAGCTAAATGAAAGGCCGGAGTGGCTTAGCCCCCAACCGCAAGCAGGGAGAGAGGAAGCGCAGAAGAAGGAGCAGGACAGAAGGGGTGCTCATCTCGCCCCCGCCCCGCCTTCCCCTTCCCCTTCCCCTCTGTTCCAGGCCCCCGCCCGAGGGCGCCCAGCCCCACTCCCGCCCGGCGGCCTTGGCTGCCCGGGCACCGCCTGCGCCGCGGGCCTTTCTCTCCCGAGCCAGACCTAGCACAGCGGGAGGCCGATTCGGTCTCGCGCCGCTTTGGGTGCGGGTCGCCGCTGCGCGGCACGGGCACGAAGCGGGGACAGCGGAGGCGCCCCGCGCGCAGGTTTCGGCACCGTCCCGGCCACCTCGCGGTCCCTCCGCGGCTGGCGGGCGGGGGCCGCCCAGCTCAGACCTGCCGCCTGGGGTCCCGATTCTGGGCGGCGGCGCGCCGGAGACCCGCACCAGGTCCGCTCTGGGGACCGGTGTCCCCCGCCCCCGTCCCCGCCTCCGCCAGAATTTTCTGCAGTCATTTCCTGGAGCCATTTGGTGGGGGTCTGTCGGCAGTGATTTATCGACGGCAGCCACGCTTACAAACATAATATTAAAGGTCACACCGTAACCGCAGCAATTTGTTCTAAAATGGAGGCCACCAAAATACTATTTTCGGGGAGTATTTTGCCACTGAAATTCAGAATTGGCGGCGCGAGTGAGGTTAAACAGCAGACCACGTTTCACGGGTGTGATCACCGATTTAAAGTTCTCTGCAGCCAGGGCTCTCCCCTGTCCCACCGGAGCCTCCCACCGCCCGGCCGAGGGGGCCGCGTTAGCCTGGGGCTTGCGCCTCGAAAACCTCCCTCCGGCCGCATTCCCACAGTGTCTGCCTCGTGGCCAGAGGAGGAGTGGGAGAAAAGAAGAAGAGCCCGGATGTGAGAAAAGCCAAGGGCACAGGCCTATGAGAGTAAGCAGCCAGCAGCTCAGAATGGGGAAACTTGGAGGAGCTTGGACATCTAATCAGATGCCTCAAAAGTGGCGTTTCATGTTAGTTTTGGGGACAGCCAAATGTATACACCGCTGCAAGAAAAGCGGAGTGTCCTGTAAAGTCTATTACAAAAGTCCGCCCTTCCCTGCCCCCCTGCTTCCATTTTCCTTCCTAGAAACAATGGCCTTTGTCTCTGGTCTTTAAACTCCACGTCTCTGCTTCTCGATTTTTCAAAACCATGCACGGGTTTCCTACCATCAAGATACAGATTTCGCGGTCGTCTATACCCTCAGCCCCTCTGCTTTTAATTTTAATTAATTTTTTGTTAAAGTACCCTTCAGGCATGATATTTGACATTAGGACTGTTTGAATGCTCTCGTGGCTAAGCCATATGGTCTCATTGCATTTACTTTCTTGTACCACCGTTTCTGTTCGCCCTGCCATCAATGATCCCCTTGGTCTTAATTTTCTGTTTCTCTGCGTGGATTTTCCGTGTTCTTGTCTACCTCATCTCCATACTCTGTTGGAAGTGTGAACCTGCATACTTCCACACCTGCAGGTGCCTGAGGGAGCCTCTCAGTTTCCTCCATGTTCCCCTTAGAAGCATGCCCTCCTGGAGCCCTCTGTCAGCCAGCTCCAGTGTGGATTTGTCTTTTTAGGTCAGCTGGGAGTCAGTATTCTGGGAGCTGGCTTCTCCAGCTTTCTGGGAGCTCACCCAGTCCCTGTGCCGTATGGGAGCCCCTACTGACTGGACTCCGGATGTTCACTCTACACTGTGGTGGGGAGAGAAGAGAGGGAATATCCTCTAGGGGCTTCCTGGAAATGGATCCACGGCAGGAAAGGAGGTAAAAATATGACCCCTTGCGTGACTGAAAATGAGGTTTATTCTGTACCTACATTTGACTACATTTTGGCTGGGTATGAGATACTATGTTGGAAGTAACTTTTTTCCCCTCAGAATTTTGAAGGCTTCGTTCCATTGTCTTCCAGCATACCCTGTGCCAGCCCACTTTCTAGTGTCTTGTATTTGAACTTGGATGGAGAGCCAAGGACTACCAGATGTTTGAGGAAATCCTCTAACACAAAAAACAGAGGCCAAAACAAGTTTGAGAAAAAGAAGAAAGAGCCATTACCGAATCAGAAAATGACATCTGCAAATACACAAAAGCACGAATGCCTCTGAGACACATTGAGATGTTGGAAGGCCAATGTAATTACAGCTCTAGGCCCTGTGCATGTTGTCTTTGTTTTTTTTTTTTTTGTCTTGTTTTTCTTTCCAGAACTTTTAGAGTCTTTTTTATATCTCGTGTTAGAAATTTCATAATAATGTGTCTAGATGTGACCCTTGTCCATTCATTGCGTAGGTGGCCCCTCGGGGACCCTCTCAAGCAGGAAGTCCTGTCCTTTTGTTCTAAGAAAGGCTTTTAAAGGTTTTGTTTTGTTTTTTCATTTTCTGTTTTCTCTCTGGAGCTCCTAATGTTTGGATATTGGGCCTTCTGTACCAATATACTAGTTGTATCTATTTCCTATTTTTTATGTAGACGATAAACAGGTAGGCAGCCAGTAAGAATATTTCTCAATTTATACAATCAAAAGAAACCACAAATGGATAATCAGGAATATGAGGGAAGCTGAACCAATAAAGTTAAAAAAAAATTAGAACGCTTATTTAGTAAGATCGGAGCCACTTTTCAGACCCATAACTCATTGGCTGACAGAGAGGCTGGTTCCCAAGGGGAAAGAATGAGGCAAAAGTCCCCGGTCCTTCCTCAAACAGATGTATGGCCATTTATTTGGGTAACTGTATGCTGGGGAAAGGGGAATATCTAGACATATTGAGGGCTTTTAGGTTCAGGATCTGAATAGATATTGATCCCCAGGTATCTGAAACAAATCATGGACTGCTGTTTGAGTAGAAGTATCTGGGGCCAAGTTATAAGCTGAGTCCCGGCTCATGTCAGGCTCATGATGAATACAGTGAATCCATGGGCTCACCCAGTCCCTGAATGGATAATTGGAATGCACGCATGCAGTGGAAGTAGAACCCTTCTTTGGTTCTTTTTCCTCTGGGTAAGAGCTACTGTAATGAGAACAGCTGAAGATTTCTCTTTCAAAAAACCATGATACAGTACCATAAAAGCCAAAACTATCATGTCCCACGGAGAATGGCAGAGATTAGAGCCACCCTTCAGACCTAAAAGACACAGAGGTGGTGATCTCCAGCCGATTCTCAATTAATTCCCCGGTCTAGCTCCTATAGAAGCCAGTCAAATCCTGGAGGACTGACGCCGTACTTTTCATACAGAGAGTATAGCGGCTTACATTTACGCTCTTGTCTCAGGACCATGTTTTCTCTCTCATCCTCAGTCATGGTACAATCTGCAGAGCCTGAACCATCTGGACTTTTTGCAGAACGTCACATTGGTTTACTCCATCAACGATACCATTTTAATCAGACAAGAGGAGTAAGAAGTGGCAAGTGCATCGGAGACCTCACACTTCACAGGGTGGGGGTCCTACATAATCCTACAAAGGTTCCCTGCCATATCAGTAAAGGTTTTAGGGGCACAGTAGTTTGGAGCACGGCAGGATAGCGCTTCCAATGGGAAGGTCAAATTATAGCATCTTGACCCTCACACCTCTAAAAGGAAGCACAGGTCCTCACACCTCTAAAAGGAAGCACAATGCAATGCAAGTGGCCCTGCCACGTGGGCCGTATGACCCGGCTGACCCTTTGGTACCAGGGTGCCCATCCGCATTAGAGAATTACACACCATTCAGAAACCAACTTCTACAAGCCACTTGGCCTCATAGAGGTAAGACTCCCGATCGTGAGATATCAAAATGTAATGGGGCCAGAGATGCCCATTGTGAGCCAGATTCTGAAAGGCTCGTTTAGTCATAAGGTTGAGCAGGCCCAGCACAATACATCAGAATATGGAAGTGACACGGCCCGGGATTGAACAGAAGTCAGGGATGGAGAAAACAAAACAGCTGGGTGACCTGGGGGCCCAGCCCCCAGGTCAGCCTCCACTGGTGCACTCACGCCTCTCCCTCAGCTCACAGCTGATCACATGGTCAGGAAGAGGTTGTTACTTCAGACCTGTCAATAGAGGAAGGTAAAGGCTAGTCTTGGTTCACCAGTAGTTTAGTTCAATTATGTGGTAGTAATTAGTTAAGATAAAATCATACTGGTGTCCTTATAAAAAAAAAAAAAAAGGCAGGGGGGGCCACCTGGGTGGCTCAGTCGGTTAAGCGTCTGACTTCAGCTCAGGTCATGAAATCACCGTTTGTGGGTTTGAGCCCCACCTTGGGCTCTGTGCTGACAACTCAGAGCCTGGAGCCTGCTTCAGATTCTGTGTCTCCCTCTCTCTCTCTTCCTCCCTTGCTCTCTCTGTCTCTCTCTCTCTCTCAAAAACTTTTTTTTGAGAGATTAAAATGAGAGATTAAAATGTCTCTCTCAAAGATTTTTTTTTTTATTTAGAAAAATAAAGGGGAAAATTGGACACAGAAATGCACATGTGAAGAACACCTTGTGAAAGTAAACGGAGAGAGCAAGGTGATGCTGCTACAAGCCGAAGAACCCCAAAGATTGCCAGCAATCCACGGCACGCTGGGTGAGAGGCACGGAACGGATTCTTTCCCACGGCCCTAGCAAACTAACGCATCACATATTATCACGTTAGAGAAATGACCAAATGTGGAGCAAAAGAGTTATAGCAGAGGTGATAAGGCCATGCAGTTTCCTGGTTTTCTCAAATACAACACCACCCAGAAGCGGCCAGCCTGAGGTACGGATCAATGATACAGCCCCTTAAAGAGGTGGCTGTAATGCTGCTTGGAGATGCTGCCTTGCAAAGATGAGTCACCGTCCACCGGGGCGGAGTAGTACACGTTCTGAATCAATGACCATTGTGTGTGCGGTCCCAGTGGTGGAGCATATGGATCTGGAAATCAAGAGATGGAAGTAGGAACGACCTTGTTTCCCATCACTCACATTAAATCAGGCGCCATTTTCAGGTGTCCCATCACCACAACCCAAGGCTCTGCAGGTCTGGCCACCCCGGGTGGGGACTGCTCCCACTAGGGACTGCGGCAAGAACTGCATGACCAGCGAAGGCTGGTCGTCTCAAAGACTTTTTTGCTGAGAGAACAGCGGGCAAAAAAGCGTCACCCTCCTGATCATCAGAAGGAAATAGGACACCGGGAGGGGGGTGCCCAGGAAGAATATATTTGGCACCCAAGTGATCCACTGGCGCCTCTTGGTACTTTCCTCTTTTGGTACTTGGTACTTTTGACAGTGGATGGACAAATGCAGAAACCACAGCTGAGAAAGGCCTTGTGAGGAAGGGTCCACAGCGCCAAGATGAAGGTCTGGAAAGGCTGAGCAGGTAAGCCACCCAAACGGCAGAGGTGCCCAGGTAAGGGGAATGGAGAAGGAGTCGTAAAGGGAGATAGTTGCCATCCCAAGACAGATGCAGTGATGGGGCTTAGTTTGCTCGCTCTCTTTCCTCTTATACGTTTCTTCAGGAAAAAAATCCTGGAGGATTCAGGGAGCATTTTAGACCAAGCAACTGGATTGGAGTGGTGCAAAATATTGCCTGTCGTGGAGGCTGTGGTCCCCTGGCCAGAGCCCGGCCTTCAGGACCAGGGTGTTCATTCCTCCAGCTTTCAGGAGCATTGCCTGCATAAGACTTGTAGCTGAGATTCCCCCCAAAGACTCACCCCCAGCCAGAGATAACTGCCTCACCTGAGAGTGCTGCAGAGAATCGGTCTAATTCATGTTTCGCGAAGATGATACCCTCTCTTGTCCCTCTGAGGCATAAATAATCATTTTGAAATAGGTTTTGGTTTGTTTTCTTATCTTTAAAGTATCCGTTTTCCCTGACTCCCCACTTTTTTTTTTAAATTTGATTTTCTTCTTCGCCTTCACAGTTGGTATTTCCCTTCACACATATCAAATATTGAATAAGCCCTCGGCAATCTGTCCACATGAGGTGTCCGACCCTCTGAAGGGCTCTTGCATCTGGTGGATTTACTCTGGAGCTACTTTGGCTAGTCATTCTGCTAGATGAAACTCATCACCACAGCCCCCCCCCCCCCCCCACCACCACCCTTTTTCATAGATATGTATTGTTTTTTCTCTTGAGCTGATAGGTTTTCCCAAAGAGGACCCATCCACTCTCCTGTGTATTTGAGGGGCGGGTGCGTAGGATATAAGCCTGGCATGGTTCCTAGGTTTGGGAGTGGGTAAGGGACTCCCATAGTCAGTGTATAGACTTTGACTACCTTTCTGATTGCTGGGTGGCACTCTGTCCCATAACATCACCCTAGTCCCTGAGTCCAGAGTCCCTCTAAGTCAATGTCTTCAGAGAATAAACCTGGAGTCAGTTAAGAGTGGTGACTGGGCTGCAGAGGGCTGGAGGAAAGAAACGTGCTGTAAACGCCTTCAGCCAATCCCCCTGCTTCCACGTCCCCAGCAGCTTCTTTCAGCGTGGCTGTGGCCTCTGGTTTTGAACTTGCTGAACTTGTGCCGCATGAATTGCTTTGCGCCTCAGTTCTCCCTCACCTGATTTCTATTCCGGATCTCCCTACTCTGCCAAGTCAGTGACCTATCACTGGTCCCTCGGTTTGCTGGCTTCTACCCATTCTCTTTACCCTTGTGTGCTGATGCCTCCCCCCCCC